TACATCATCTACAAAAGGTTACAACATGATAACCTCAAAGTATTGAGGTTTCTGTCTTAAAGATTCTGTGCAAAATGGTGAAGGCCTAGTGAAGCACATTCACATACCCTACCTGATTACTCAACCCTGGATCATCTCTTTCACCAGTGGTTTTTGTCTGCTGATCTCTTCATGACTCTTGACTGTTGTACCTTCTTTCTTCACTGACCCAGTAGACGAGCAATCCTAAATTGCTAATAAATAAGGAAAGAAATCCTGCAAGCCTGGGCAGGCCATTGTGCCACTTCCCAAATTTGGAAGCAGCCACATTTTGTTTATCAGATACAAATATTATCCTTTTCGCAACTGGAACTTCCAACTCCTCAAGGTGTGTAGTGAGACTGTTTTGGTGGTTGAGTGGTCATCAGGGACTCTGGCTCCTTCTGTCATTCTTCCACCATCCCATAAGCAGCTTCTCCCCTCAAACAACCTCACAGTCCAAGATGGCTGCTAAAACTCAAGCCCTTCCTTCCAGGAAGAAAGAATAAGGGTAAGAGAGTTATTCCCAGCTGAATCAATTCCCTTTAAGCTACCATCCCCAAACTCCCACGCAACACTTGGACATATTTGACGGATAGAACTTAGTCTGTCAGGGAGGATGAAAAATAATATGTTAGCTGGGTACATCATCCCTCCAAAAAAACTGGGGTTCTTTTGTTAATGAAGAAGGCAAGAAGACACTGTTTAAGCAGCTAGCAGTATCTGCCATGCTGCATTTATTTTAACTAAAAAAAACAAATCAAAAAATAAACTTTTCAGAGAGATTCTATCATGAGACTGTGAAGATATCAGAAAGCTGATGTAATATAGATCTTTATCTTAAAGAAGTACTTTTCATAGAGATCTACATTTGGAATACATGTTGGAATTGAAATGCAATTACATTTGTTTCACTGTGCCAGTTTCTACCATACATATGGATACAATTTTGCTCAGAAGTGTATTGCACATATTTCAAACATAGACATTGGAAAACCACGTTTCTTTAAATGTGTTTTTCTGATAGCTAAAGTCACAATACTTCTGGAGTATGGTAGGGATGGAGGCAATTTGCTCTCATCTTGTCATTTCACATTTTGCTCTAGAGAGAATCCACAGCTCCCCACGTATGCAGCTGGAAAGCTCAACTATGTCTAAGGCAGGTTCACGGGAAATGGAAAGTGATTTGACTTAGGCAGGACGGAACAGCAAAAGTGGAATGTTAAAAATGAGGGGAAAAAACCAAACCTGGATTAAATTATAAGTTTTAAAAACTCACCAACACAAGTAATTTTCAAAAGAAATAATTTAGTGCACAAACTTAACTAGCAGTGGCCATCCCAAGATGCCTTCTGCTTCAGCTCCATCCACCAACCCACCCCGAAAGTACCCAAAATAAATAATCACTCTAAACAGGAACAATGTACCTGCTACGTAAATATATCCTCAAATAATATCCTCTAGCCCAGAGCTGCACTCCTACTCCTTCCACTCAAATTCTATCTAGAGATATTCTGGAGCCACCAGTGAGAACCAGCCACCGTCCTTTAGGAAGCAGAGTGGAACAGTTGCAACAGAGACTTTATGGTCTGCAAGCCTTAAATATTTACTATCTGGCCTTTTACAGAAACATTTGCTGAGTCCTTCTTGACTGCACAAAGTTGATATGCATTCATTTATTGCCCGAGTATTTATTGAACAGCTGCTATATATCAAGCACTGTGCTTCTCCTTTCTATTCAAGAAGCTTTCAGACAAATGAAAGAGGTAACTAAAATATTCACTGATAAGTGCTACCTTAGGGGCAAAAATAGGTTGCAATGTGAGCATATATAGGAGGCACTAACCCAGATGAGAGGAGAGAAGACTGTAGCCAGGAAAGACTCCCCGATGAAAACAGTATCTAAGTTAATAGTGGATGGTAAGTAGGAGTTAGCCAGGCAAAGAGGGAGAAGGCACAGTAATTACAATGGCCCAGAGAGAAATTAGGGAAATTCAAATATTTCAGAGATGAAAGTGAAAAAAGGTCAGCAAAGGTTTAGAGATACCTATGTCGGATTGATAGCAAGGGGAATGGATGGAAGAACTGTCATAAACTAAACAGTGTAAGATGAGCCACTGGGCCAAGGGCAGAAAGCACAGCCATCCCGTGTGCCCTGCAGCAGAAGGCAGGAAGTGACCGGGAAACTGAAGTACCACGTACAGGTTGCTGTGGAGGAGGGTGATGAGACAGGAGTGAGGGGTGGGAAGAAAGGCAACTGCCAGCCAGTGACTCTGACCTGAACAGGGAGGGCTGGTCTTGCTGGTGGTTCTCAGGCTCTCTAGGGAAGTGTTCTTAGACAGGCAGCTCTTCAGAGAACTGCCCTCTGGCCACAAGCTTTGCCTCCATTGGAAATGAAGATAAAATTGTCCTCTTCATAAATCTTTCCAAATCCCTCTGCAGGCTGCATCTTCAATTCTTTCGGCAGTTATAAAATCTTTTATTCTAGGATTAGAGATAAAGACTTAAAATGCCAATGTTGATTACGGTTAAAACATTGCAATTTATTTGGACCAAAGTACAATCAGAAAATGAGCCAACAGATATCAAATCATTTCCAGTTTTAATTTAGTTTTAATTTAATTTATGGGACTTTAGGGAAGGGAAGGCATCTCTAACAAAAGATCCTTACTTATTAAGGGCCAGTCCTGTTTATTCTCAAACAGAGCTAGAAAGGAATGAACAAAAGCTAAGAAGATACTCCTTGTCAGATTTAGGAAATGTGTGTCCTTTTCTTTTAGTTGAGGTTGTAGGGATGGAAAAAGTTTTCCTTGACCCTTCTAAGGTCTCTGGCTGGGTCTGAAAGTTAAACTGACAAAGACAGATTAACAGGATAAAAGCATACAAATTTTATTGAATTTTTACATGTGCATAGGAGCCTTCCCAACAGAATGAAGACCTAAAGAAGAAACCATAGCAGGAAGCTTTTATACCGTTTAGAGAAAGAAAAAAATAAATTTGTGAAGAATTGACAAAACAAAGGGGTTTGGGCTAGGGGTAATAAATGGTGAAGAAGTAACTAGGAAGATACGAGTTGGTTTAACAAAATTTGTTTATACAGCCTTCTTGGCCCTAAATTCCATCTCTGGTGATAAGAATGTCTTCTTTCCTCCTGGTACAGCGAGGGTACCTTGCACACGAGAGTTTTATGACCTGTTTCAGGGAAGAAGGGGTGGGGGAGAGGAAATAGCGGAGGGTGCGGTCAGAATGACCTTCCTGCTTCTGTATGTTCTCAAATTCCTTCAGTTTAAGGTATTCAACACGCCAAGTGCTGTATTTTGCGATAGTGTGTCCTGAACCACATCAAGATATATCTTGTTTTGTAAGATACATATTTTTAAAAATAATTATTTGAGAGCATTGTTGTGGATCTATCACTTTAAGGAAGGACTTCCCCCCCCAAGTTTGTCATTTGGTTTGAGCATTTCATTTAATTTTCAGAATTTTTGCCTCTCTTCCCCCGCCAAAAAAGCTCTAGGTTGGTGTACCTTAGGTAGTCCCTCTCTCTCTCTTTGCCATCCTATGCAGACCTTTTCATTTCTCATTATCTGTTTAGTTCCTCTGTCTCCTCCACTAGATCTTAAGTCTCTACAAGTGCAGGGGCTATTTAATTTTGTTCACTGTGTATTTCCCAGTTCCTAGCTCAGGGTCTGGCATATAATACGTTCTCAGTAAATATCCCTGAATAAATAAATGATAACAACATTGAAATATTGTCTATATGTCTTTGATCTAGTTAGTAACTACAAGTAGTCTATTGTTTTGTATATGTCAATTAGCAGAGAAAAAAGAGTAGTTCTGCTCCATAAGCATTTTTTTAGTAGCACATCCAATTAAGAAGAAAAATTCAGACCATAAAAAAATTTCTATTAGAACATGGTCTTATTAAATATATATTGTATTACATCATGCTTCCAGAAAATGTTACAATTTCTTTTTTTTTAGTGCACAGTTTAAAACTGGTCTCGCTCTATTTTTCTAAGGGCATTGGCATTAAATTTGAAAAACAATGCTCTGAAGAGAAATAATTTTGAAATGTTAAAAATTATTTCTATTTCTGCTCTGTAAAAAGTTTTTTTCTACAAATGAAATAATTCAAATAGTCATTTTGAGGGTTTTACATAAGATGCTAATTTTTTTAAAAAAAGCTTTCGGCAAAACCAATGTATGCCTATGTGTTAATATTCATAAATGTACCTAGGGTTGGATTTATTATGACAGATTCCTAAGGTTGTGAAAGCTTGAGGTTGCTCTAACAAAAAGACACATTTAAGAAAATATCCTATTTTTAAAATTTTTTCTTTGCTTTCTCTTAATCTCTGCTCTCCTACATTCCATTGACTTCACTGAAAAATCGGTTTATTCCGACATCACTTTTACTTGCAGTGGTTTTCAGCACCAGCGCTTAGGTCAATGAACTGCTTCCTTAGGTTTGTGGGTATGTATTTATAAATACAAGCTGTTTTGTATATTGTTTGTAGAGCACGTAGAGAAAGTGACGCACGAATAAAAGCAGAAGCTTTTTTTTCCTTTTTTTTTTTTTCAAGACATATAAACCCTAAAAATACTCACAATGCGCAGGAGGAGACCTGGATATAAAGGAAACTAAATTTGTACAGCCACGGAAGTGAAGAAACGGATAACTTCTGAGGTATTTATGCAGTGTTTCCTCTAAAAACGCGTTTCGAAGACGTCCGCGAGGCCCTGGTCTGCCTTCACCCGGCAGGACACCGCTATCCACAGCCCCGAAGCCTCCCGCCGCCGCCTCGCGAGCTGGGGGCGGGCACCCAGAGGAGGTAACCAAAAACCACACTTCCCAGAGTGCTGTGCGCAGGTCCCGGGGCGCGCTCCTCGCCCCGCCCCCGGAGCCGTCGCTCTCGGGGGGCTGAGGCGAGAAGACGCCTGGCGCCAGCCGGGGCTCGGGGAGGCCGCGCGTCCGTCGAATGCTCGCGCGGGCTGGTGCGGCGCGGCGCGGCGCGGCGCAGGACTGGGAGCGAGGTAGCGCGGCTGCAGCCTTGGCGAGGCCGGGAGGAAGCGAGCGCAGCGACGAGGCGAGGATCGAGGTAACCGGCCGCTCGTTCCCCTCACTCCCCTCTTCCTTTGTGCGGTGCCTGTCGCTCGCGCCGAGCCCTCCCTGCCCCCAGCCCCAAATCGTAACGCCGTCCCGGCTGGTGCTCCGGCGCGGGGATCCTCCAGCCCTGAGAGCAGCAACCACAACTCCGCAGCGGAGAGGGTTTGGGCCCATTACCCCGTGCCCCGTTTCTGTCGCCCCCGTTGGCGGGAGGAACGGGGTCGCGCTCCGCGAGGGGAACCGCAGCCTCTGGCCCAGCCTCGCCGGGGCCCCTGGGCTCGCTCCCCTCGGTCTTTGGAAGAAAGCCCAGGCAGGTGCTCCGCGGGTCCGGCGACTGAGCAGGCGCCGGTGCGGCGTGTGGGGGGGCGGCCTGTGGGGGCGGGGCAGGGGGGCGGTCCCCGGGCCCTGCTGCGCCGGGACCCGCCGCCCTCCGGGCTTGGTGCCTGTTCGGGCCTTGCCGAACCACCTGGACGTGCCCGCCGCAGGCTCGCTGCCCGTCGGGACATGCGCGTCCGCGGAGCGCGCTGCCCGCGCCAGGTGCACCCTCGGGGCGCTGGAGACCGAACCGAGGAGCATCCCGGGGTGACGCCGGAAACTGCAGCCTCTTTCAGCACCCGCAGATGCCCCTCTTTGCTCCTTCGGCTCAGTCCTGGGCTGAGGTCGCTTGCTGGTGTCTTCAAGGAGGGCTGTGGGTCTACGTAGCGCACGTTTCTAGCTCGTCCTTTGCGGGATTTGCACAGTACCAGCGTTTGGGCGTCTGGGTTTGAAAAGCTTTTTGTGTATGTTCCCGCTTGGCAATGTTTAATCAGACGACTGTTCGTGGGAAATTGAACTTTTCTCAGTATTCCTTTTAACCTGTTTTCATAGCGTCATTATGTTTGGCCCTTTACTCTATGCTAATATTACCGCTTTGGGAGGGTTCTTTGGGAAAAGGTTTTTGAAAGAACCTGGGTTGATACAAGTATTTTATCTGCCGGTTGCGCTTTTTCTTCCTTTGCGTTGATTTTCTCCTGTGTAGCTGATAATTGTTCGACTCTTGGTCTTCACACTCGTTCTGGGAGGAAATCCTCTTCCTCTATCTCCCTCGCGTCTTGAGCCTGCCGAAGGGTGGACTTGGACGAGCAGAGACCTCCGCTTGGCGGTGGCTTTCATCATTGGCTGCTGCTTTTCCTCTTCCTTCCTCCTGGCACCCCCTTTAGTTTGTCGGTCAACTCATGACCCACTTCAGACTTTTTAGTCAGTGTATATCTTGCCTTTAAGATACCAAACGATATGAGCATAAGTATAAAAATAAACCTCAGGATATTATACTCAACTATTGCATTTCAGTTCATCATATTAACATTTAAAGCTAATTTTTTTTAGCATTTGATACGATTACTATTATTGTTTTTTAATATGATAATCTGTAATAATTGCACGTTCTTTTTTAAAAATCAAGAACTTTTAAGTGTTGTAGAGAACTGAAATGGGTATTGTCATTTTAAAAAGATTAAAGGGAATATTTTGACCATCCTAAAAATTAATTTTAAATAGCTTTTATGTTTTAAGAAAAACTGGATTTTTAAATTTTGGTTTCTTATATTTGAATTTTCAATAAAGAGTCGTTTATTTTTGTATATTAAGAACTAAAGAGATGAGGGACGAGAAATGCTTCATGGAATAACAAAATATTATATTTCTTAATCCTAAAATGCATTAGCTTGACCATTTCATCGGTTTTCTGAAAAACATGTTTTATGTTAACCAATGAAGCAAGAGGAAATCGAACATTTTTAAGTATATTAATTTTTCTTCACTGATGTCAAGATATGTCTGTAATAAAGTGTGACCCTTCAGTCTTTTTTTTTTTCTTTTTTAAATGTTTTCTCTGTCTGCGGGGCTTTTGTAGAAGCATCGGGATATAATAATGTAATGAGCTCAGTTCTAGAACTAGACAACTCTGGATTAGAATCCCAGCTCTCCACATCTTGGCTATGTGACTATGGCAAGTTATTTTCTTTTCTTTTTTTTTTTTTTTTTAAAGATTTTTAAAGATTTTATTTATTTATTTTTTCCCCCCAAAGCCCCAGTAGATAGTTGTGTGTCATAGCTGCACATCCTTCTAGTTGCTGTATGGGGGACGCGGCCTCAGCATGGCCGGAGAAGCAGCGCGCCGGTGGGAGCCCGGGATCCGAACTCGGGTCGCCAGCAGTGGAGCGCGCTCACTTAACCACCAAGCCACGGGGCCGGCCCGCAAGTTATTTTCTGAACCTCTGTTTCCTTAGCTGTAAAAGGGGGATAAAAATTTTAATTGTTATAATATATGAAATCATTTTGTAAACTGTAATGTACTATAGCATTCTTTGATATCACTAGTTACATGCTGTGTTTTAAAATGCTGCCAGTATAATTTTCTGGTGAATACTGCTTGTGTAAATACTATCAAACTTTATTGTTTAAAGGGTTGCCTGTACCAGAGAGTTCATTGTCTGGTTATGAATGATTTAGTTGGTTCTTGTGACTCAGAGGTAAAATTATGGAAGAGAGTCAAAGGGATTTTCGGAAAATTTCTACTTCATCTCTCTGGTTCTTAACTTAGATCTATGGCTGTGCCCATAAATGGTCTTCCAAGAGTCTGTGAACTCTGTGTATATCTGTGCTTTTCTGGGGAGAAGACTCACAGCTTTCAACAGATGTTCAAAAGGGGTTCGTGACCATCCTCCCCCCAAAGGTTCTAGGAACCATTAGCTTCAGTTATTTAGGCAGGTTTCTTTACTAGATATTTTGCAGATTATTTTTAAAATTAGTTTTTTTGATAAAAGAAAGTGAACAGGTAATTTTTGAAGCACTGTGAGTGCCTGGTTTTCTTCCAGAACTAGAGATTGATGTTTATGATATAAAATGTTCATACGAATAACAGTGCTGCTTCTTAATATCTGGAGGTGACACCGCTGATTATCCGTCCATTATCCTTAGGTAGATAACTGTGTCCTGCCCCCCCCCCCGCCTTGATGGGCAATAGAATGCATGGCAAGAATGGCACCCTAATACAATCCAGCATGTAAGAATATTATTTTGAAATGCTAAAAGATAGTTTGGTTTGTTTATTCTGAAATTCAGACTTTTTCTCTTTTCTCAATAAAACACCAAATGCTAAAGAAAATTAAGTATTTTATCTTCCAAACTAGATGATGATATTTATATAGTATATTTGTTGTTCTATAATATTTCTTCTTGTATAGCACAGAGTGTAAAGTTATATTAAATCTTAATTGATGATCATTTTGACTTTCAGTATTGCTTGGTTTAGAAAGAATAAAAAGTATATGGTATTTACAATCAATTTATGTAGATTAGATTATAGTTTGTAATTTTAATTTATAATATTTAAAATTAATCTTATTTGCATTTTGGGAATTTCAGAATTAACTTAGAGTTCTAAGTTTGAGTTCATTCTTGTAATAGAGTTTGGAAGTAAGCTGTATTTTCCTTGTTAGTGATAGGTTGCTGGGCTATAGGGCTTCACACGGTAAAGCCAGCTTCTGTTTCTGGGTCGGTTACCAGTAGCAGTCAAAGGGCTGAAAAGTATGAGGTGGATCAAGTGATGCTGTACAACCTTATGAATGAATCTGCCCAGCGGAGTAATGTCCTTGTGTGTTTTTCCTTGAGTTTTGTTTTTTCTTTTTCCGTTTGATTTTGATCAGTATTTTCATTTGAAATCTGAATGCTTTTCAGAGTTCAAGGTTCTAAATCAATACTTGGGGATTTATAGAATCAAGTAACAGAACTGTATTTGGCTTTCTCGATTTGTTCTTTATAAAAATAGTCTGAAAGGTCTATATGGATCTCAAAGATCAATTAGAGTTGAATGCCAGCCTTTGCATAATACTTTATGTATAAAAGATAAGTCACTATGTTGCATATTTAGTTACTTTAATACAGAGGATTGCTTTTTTATTTTAATAATGAAAGTTTGAGTTAAATTAATTGGATATGGAAAACAAAGAAGAATCATTTCAGCAAAAATTTTACCTATGGGAATACTGGCCTTTTAAGATCAGTGATTTAATGTGTATTCTCTTACTCTTGAACTTTAAAAAAATAGAAAACATTTTCTGTGTGGGGAGGATATTATTAACATCTGTATTTTAGTTCTCATAAAGTAATTTATAGGGCCGGCCCCGTGGCTTAGTGGTTAAGTGCTCGCGCTCCGCTACTGGCTGCCCGGGTTTGGATCCCGGGCGCGCACCGATGCACCGCTTCTCCGGCCGTGCTGAGGCTGCGTCCCACATACAGCAACTAGAAGGATGTGCAGCTATGACACAGCTACCTACTGGGGCTTTGGGGGAAAAGGAAAAAAGGAGGATTGGCAATAGATGTTAGCTCAGAGCCGGTCTTCCTCAGTAAAAAGAGGAGGATTAGCACGGATGTTAGCTCAGGGCTGATCTTCTTCACACATACACACACACAAAAGTAATTTATACATACTGTACAAAGATGTAGTTACACTCCCCATACAAGGATATAGTTAATGCCATCTTTGGCCTAGAGCCTATGTTGAGTCCTGGGCGTTGCCACTTAATAGCTGTGTGACCTTGGGTAGGTTTCTTAACTCCTCTGAGCCTCATTATCCACAACTGTAAATATAGGAATACTAACTTTTTGGGTTGTCCTGAGGATTGAAATGAATTAATGTGAAGTATCTAACTCAAATAATAGCAATTACTTATAGAGTGTATATGGCAGACAATTTTATTAATCCATTTAATCTTTATAACAATCCTATGAAGTTGGTACTGTTATTTTCCTCATTTTTACAGATGAAAAAACTGAGGCTAATGAAAGGTTATGTAACTTACCCAAGATCATACAACTAGTAAGTAGATAGCACTCAACAAATACTGACTGTTGTCATAAAAAAACCCAGGAAGACATAGGGTAATATAGCCAGTCATCTTTTCCTATAGTGAAAAATGCATCCAAATGTAGATCATTATAAAGCATATTTTA